AAAACATAATATCCTAGGTTTAGGTAGTACATTTCCTTAAAGACCTTAGAGAAATCTTATTTTAATTTATTCTAACATATCCCAGATATTGAAGATGAACCTTGCTGTTTTATTCTAGGGCCAGAATATAAGTATGTACTTTATAGTTAATAACTTTATATAGAGAATTTTAAAATATAGTTACATTGCTTTTAAAATTTGTTTTAAATTTCCCTCCAAGAAGAGAATTATTGGAAACTTAAAGCTTTTTGTGGTGTTTAGGAAGAGTAAAATATTTAGGAAATTAAAGAGAGGATGGGAATAAGAAAAAGTGTGGTAAGAAAAACTTTCCCTAAGCAGGGTCAGTATCTGAGATACTATAACAGCAGCAGCTATGAACTTGCATTTGTTTCATGCTTACCATGTGTAGGCATTGTTCTTTACAATTTATGCTTTACACTTCATTCATTTAATACAACACCCCTTTGTATTGTAGTAAAAAGTATATAGCATTAAATTTACCATCTTAACCATTTCTTAAGGGTACAGCTCAGTGNGGGAGCGCTGCTGCGCTCCCAGCACTGCACTCTCCCAAGTGCGCCACGGGCTCGACCCTCTAAAACTTTTTCATCTTGCAAAACTGAAATTCTTATCTGCTGACATTAATTCATCCTCCCACCCCCAACACTTGGTTACCACCTTTCCACTTTCGGTTTCTGTGATTTTGACTGTGTTAGGTAATTCATATGAATGGACTCACGCAGTATTTGCCCTTTTTGTGACTGGCTTATTTGCTTAGCATGGTCTTGAGGTTCATTCATTTTGTAGCATGTAACAGGATTTTCTTCTTTTCTAAGGCTGCTTGATACCACATTTTGTTTATCCATTTATCTGTTGATGGATGTTTGGATTGCTTCCAGCTCTTGGCTACTGTGAATAATGCTGCAATGAACACAAGTGTGCACGTATCTCTTTGAGATCTTAATTTGAATTCCTTTGGCTATATATCTAGAAGTGGGGGTTGCTGGATCATATGATAGTTCTATTTTTAATTTTTTGAGGAACCTCCATACTGTTTTCCATAGTGACTTAGCCATTTAACATTCCCACCAATAGTGTACAAGCATTCCAATTTTTCTGCATCCTTACCAACACTTGTTATTTTCTGGATCTTTTAATAGTTGTCATCATAATGAACATGAAGTGGTATCTCATTGTGGTTTTGATTTTCATTTCTCTTATGATTAGTGATGTTGAGTATCATTTAATGTGCTTGTTGGCCATTTGCATATCTTCTTAGGATAAATGCCTACTCAAGTCCTTTGCCCATTTTTCAATTGGGTTATTTGTTTTTTTGCTGTTGAGTTGTGGAAGTTCCTTACAAACTCTGGATAATAGCTGCTTATTATGTATATGATTTGCAAATACTTTCTCCAATTTTGTGTGTTTCTTTTTTACTGTGTTGATTGTTGCCTTTGACACACAGAAGTTTCTGAGTTTGATGTAGTGCCATCTGTCTATTTTTGCTTTTGTTGCCTGGGCTTTTGGTGTCATATCCAAGAAATCATTGCCAAATCCAATGTCCTGAAGCTTTTCCTCTGTTTTCTTCTAGGAGTTTTATAGTTTTAGCTCTTAGGTTTAAGTCTTTAATCCATTTTGAGTTAATTTATGTATATGGTATAAGGAATGGGTCCAGCTTCATTTGGCCATATATACAATGATATATTTCTGAGCTCTTTTTTGTATTCTGTTGGTCTGTATATTGGTCTTTATGCCAGTACTAAACTGACTTGATGACTGTTGCTTTGAAATCACAAAGTAAAACCTCCAACTTTATTCTTTTTCAATATTGTTTTGGCTATTTGGGGTTCCTGTAGATTCTATAAGGATTTTAGGATTTTTTTTCTATTTCTGTGAAAAATGCCACAGGATTTTGGTAGGAATTGCATTGAATCTGCAGATCACTTTGGATAGTATGGACATTTTAATATTATTAAATCTTTCAATACATGAGCACAGTATGTCCTCCCATTTATTTGCATATTTTAAAAATTTCTTTTAGTAACATTTTGTGGTTTACATTGTAAAGCCTTTCACCTTAAGTATTTCATTCCTTAAGTATTTTATCCTTTTGATGCTGTTGTAAATGGGATTATTTTCTTAATATTTTTTTGGATTGGTCATTGTTAAATATGACTGATTTTATGACTGATTTTTGTGTGTTGATTTCACATCCTGAAAACTTTGCTGACATAATTTTTTAGTTGTAGTAGTTTTTTTGTGTGAATTCTTTAGACTTTTCTATGTATGAGAACATGTCATCTGAGAACAATGATAATTTTACTTCTTTTCCAATTTAAATGCCTTTTATTTCTTTTTATTGTCTAATTGCTTAGAATTTCTAGTAGTGTTGACTAGTAGTGGCAAGAGTGGGTATCCTTGCCTTATTCCTCACCTTAGTGGGAAAGCTTTCAGTCATATACCATTGAATGTGATGTTAGCTGTGAACTTTTTATGTAAGACTTTTATTATGTTGAGGTAGTTTTCTTCTATTCCTAGTTTGTGGAGTGTTTTTTTTTTTTCCTGACTGGTAAGGGGATCGCAACCCTCAGCACATTGTCATCTGCACCACACTCAGCCAGTGAGTGCACTGGCCATCCCTATATAGGATCCAAACCCCCACAGCCTTGGCACTACCAGCACCGCACTCTCCCAAGTGAGCCACAGGGCCGGCCCTGTGGAGTGTTTTTTAATATGAAAATGTGTTGAATTTGGTCAAATGATTTCTGTGTATCAACTAAGATGACTGTGTATTTTTTGTCCTTTGTTAATGTGGTGTACAAGTATTACTTAGATTGGTTTTTGTATGTTTGCATTACAGGCATAAATCCCACTTAGTCATGGTGTATAATCCTTTTAATGTGCCATTTAATTTCATTTGCTAATATTTTGAGGAATTTTGCATCAATATTCATCAGGGATATTGATCTGTAGTTTTCTTGTGTCTTTGTCTGGTTTTGGTATCAGAGTTATGCTGGCCTCCCAGAATGTGTTTGAAAGTGTTCCCTCTGCTTCTGTTCTTCAGAAGAATTTGAGGATGATTGGTGTTAATTCTTTAAATGTTCAGCAGAATCCTTCAATGAAGTTCTCTGGTTCTGAGCTTTTCTTTGCTGGGAGGTTTTTGATTACTGCTTTGATCTCCTTGT